TTCATGAATTCGCCCATAGTTTCTACGTTTCTTTGCATTATTTTCCCGTTTGTCCATAACATCACATTTGATAAATCCGTCAGTCTCACTAGACATACTTACAACTTGATAACTCTCCTTTCAGGTTCAATAAACAAACATACATAACCTCTAAACAGCTCTGAACCACGTACAGACTAAATGTATTAACCGTTTCGTAGGGGTCACATTGACATTCCTCCTTTTTTCCCTGTAACATTCTCGAACATGCCTCTTTTTTACTCTGTATAAAAAATATAAAAATGTGTTACATCCTGACTAACCTCTTTCATCAATATGAATTTTTGACATGAAATAGTATTCAGTTATATGGTCTAATTATCTCATTTGCGCCCGTCCTTTGACATACCTCCTTTTTTCCCTGTACCCTTCATATAATAGCTAAAAATCGATAAAAAAATGTGAAGTCAATATAGATAAAATCTAAACATCTCTGCACAAAACTCATTTTCGAAATTGAATGAATAAAAGTTGAAAAGTTTTTTTTTAAATTGACTATCGTTACTACCATCTTTTCCATACTGTGAAAGAATATTAAAATATAAAAATTCTTCAATAATACTTTTCCTCCAACAATAAAAATATTGTGAAACCGGAACGTTTTTATTAAAGCTTTAACTTGGATGTTGCGATATAAGTCAGCCAACCCTCATATATTTTCCACTACCAGACCGCTAGACATATCAATAACCTCGGAACTATCCCATTTCGTTCCCTCTTCTTACTTTTTTTCACACACAAACGTCGTTCCAGGCATTTCTCAAGATTGTTCGCCAACAATACCGGAATTTTGAACCATCAGACAAAAGGAAACTGTTGGTTTTTGTGTTAATGGCGCCAAGACACGCGATTTGCCTACCTGTTCAAGGACGATTCGAAAATGGATTTTACGTTAATAATAGAGCATTGAATAGTTCAAGCACGATCATTATTATTTAGAGCTAAATTTTGTTTATTGTTTTATTGATCTGTGGAAACGTCGATTTAATTATAGGGCTGTACATTATCTTCTATTCAATTTAGGTTTAGTTTGAAATGTTGATAAATGGAAAATAGTGCAAGCTTATTAATTATTTTCAATACTTTAGATTTTTTAGAAATATTCACAGATTTTTACAACTAGCACATTTTTTACAGTGGAGAGTCGGCTATTGGTGCGCAGATAACGTTAATTCAGGATATTGTAAAAACTTAAAAGAATTTAGTTTCCAACTTTTTTTTTGAAGATATATTTCAAGGGCCTAGGAATATTAGTAGGGACCGCATTCAGTGAATGGTTGACAGTAGAAGAGTGAGAGGCTAAATTTCGAATTAGTGTAACGCGCACAATTACCTGACCTATTCGGCTAATGGTGCGCATATGTCCGATTACTATGCGCAATAATAGAATTTAAAAAAATGCACGTTTACTTTATTAAATATAACTGCTAAATCTTGAGCTATGTTATCTTGTGCTGTCTTGAACTGTTATGTTATCTTGAGTTAATCTCTCTGTTGTCCATAAGTGATAGTTGCAATACATGTTGAATGCTGATTTGGGGTAAGGAGGTATTGTTAAAAGAGAAATCCCATGTAATTAAATATAGTCAGAGAAATATGACTGGAATAGTTATCCAAAATGAAAATGACTGGATCATCTTTCGATGGTTTTACGGTATTTTTGAAATGCTGAAGTCATTAATAAAAAAATCTTCGTTACTCCAGTTGCTTTTAGAACAAGAATAGATAGATTTGGTTGAATCATTTTTTGTTAATGCGTCTACCATTCTAATCCTTAGAAATATAAACATTTGTGGGAACAGGTGCCTGATGACTTGAAGTAACAAATAATTATGACTAGACTTCGGCAAATATGCAAATAAAAATGTAGAAAATATGCGCATAAATATGCACGTGTTTACCCGAAAATATGCAAATATTTTACAAAATCTGCATACAAATAAATAAAAAAATCTTAAAATAGTCACAATTTTATTAAAAAAAAAAAAGTGTATATAACTAAATATTTCCTACTATTCATTAAGATTTACATTTATTTTAAGTAACTACATCATTTTTAAGTATGAATAAATTTATTTAGAACTATGGTAACAATAAATGACCAAGTGGTGTTCAAAATTTTCTAACAAAAACTTGTGGCTTCTGTCTGAGTACATATATTTATATATGGAAAAACTTCGTTCAACATCAACTGATGTAACGGGAGCATTTTTCAAACTAACCAAAACATTTGGTTCTAAATTAATTGTTTCCGAAATATTTCCAGCTAGAACACTGACTACTTCAGAAAGAATATGGTAACCTTTATTTTTTTCCATAGTAGCTTCAAATTTTTTTAAAATATCTTTTCCAATATTACCTCTAACGTTCCGACAACATGACGCAAATTCTTTTATTAATGCTGTACTTTCGAACAATGACAGTTTTGGTGATTCTAACTGAGTAATTGTTTTTTGAACAAAACTAAAATTTGATTTTATAAATGAAAGTTCTTGTTGAAGCAAGTTACTCTGAAAAGTTTGTTTAGAATCTAAAAGAGATTGGGAACTTTCATCTGTTAACGTATCAATTATGTTCTTTATTTTAACAAAATGATCTGCATAAAAATTAGCTGCTTCTAACCATGTTCCCCATCGCATTAAAATCGGTTGTGGTGGAAGAGGAATGTTAGGTAGCATTTCTTTATAAAGTTGAATTCTTATAGGAGATTTAAGAAATACTTTTTTGACACTGGATATCATGGTATTTACAAGAGGAAACTTTTTTCGTATTTCCTCTGCAACTCTGTTTAATCCACGCGCTACACAAGTAACATGTATTAAATCTGAGTATAGCCCGTTGACATTATTTCTTCTTAGAGACCGATCACTTGGAACATTAAGTTTGCAATATTTTTTTAGAAACGAACTAAAATTTACATTTGCTAATTTTGAAAGCGGTATGTTTGCAGACACTAATGCACGACACAAGTCTTCATTAAAAGTTTCTTGCTCATCTAATTTTTTTGAAGTAGATTGGAAACATTTAGCCATTGAAGTTTGATGTTTTTCTCCTATTTTTCCTTTTTTTGCAATGTGTGAAGCAGTTCTCACATGTTGGTCTATCTGAAATTTCTTCTCACATGCTATCTATAAATAAAAATAAAAACCTTTATTTTAACCCAACCTTTAAAATATAAAAATATACAAGGTGTTTTTGGTTAATCAAATAACTGGTTTGGAAAAAAAACACTCGCTAAGTGTTTTAAATGCAGTATTAATCCACAAATTAGTTTTTGTTACTAACCATTAGTACATCATATAACTTATTTTAAAATTCAACAAAAGTTTTTTTTTTGTTAATTCAATTACAATAAAAATAATTGTGTTTTAGAATAGCTGACTTCATAAAAAAAAGTAAAGGTGAAAAATTTTTCTAAATACACACCATTGTATTGTACCACGGACAATTTTTTCTCACTAAAGGAAGCTATTTTTCATTTAAAAACAACCTACGAGTACTAAATTTCAAGTAAATACGTTTATTGGTTTTAAAGTTATTGTTGTTATTAACTAAAAGAATTTAATTTTTTTTTAATTTTAACACCCTGAATCTCGAAAAGTAAATAAGTTTGACCCCTCATTAACTATATCGTTTTGTTCAATTTTTTGAGAAATATCTACAGTCAAACGTTGTAAGTGTCATTTGGAAACACCCTGTATGTATGAAATATTAGATATTTAATAGAAAATATTAGATACTTACAATTTTGCCACAGACTGAACAGTAGATTTTTCCCATATCCATAGACAGCTCTTTATAAGGTTTAATCCAAGTTGAAGCACTGGTTGTTTTAGGCATTATAAAATCACAATCTTCTTTTTTGTTATGCACAACGAGTGTTTACGCTTTGAATATCAAAACAAAAATGATTTACAAATCTGAGCATCAAACTAGAAATGTTTAGGTACCTAATTCAATAAACTGGGAGATTTTGGAAAATCCCTAAATTAGGAACAAAACTATTAGCCGTTTACCTGCTGTTAAGATACAATAAATTGTAGATAGATTTGGGGATTAGATCATAAAATGCAAATGAGCGAACTCTTAGCGAGATTTGGGGATTAGATCATAAAATGCAAATGAGCGAACTCTTAGCGATTATCCAATAACTGAATGCCTCAGTGACCGAGACTTTCTAAGAATGTTGAGGGCTACTTAAATTGATCTTCTTTGAAATTGTAAATGTTTTGTACCTGTAGAGATTACGTACTTAGATCATTTCTTGATTAAAATGACTACAAAATTTTATACAAGAATTGAAATAAATTGGTATGTTTAAAAATTTTCAAATATAGTATAAAAATCTGAACTTTTATGCACTTTATGCAAACTTTTATACAAATATGCCAAAATATGAAATATTTGCATAAAATATGCACAATATGCAAAATATGCAATATGCATATTTGCCAAAGTCTAATTATGACTTTCTTCCCCCTTTCACCGCCAAACACTTTGACACCCTTTGGTCCCAGGTTTTGCAAGGCTTTTGTATAGTGTCAAACCATAAAATAATTTCGCTATCTTTAAAACGTGATCTATTAATTTTTTTTTTTTTTTTTTTTTTTTTTGATCGAGGGAAAAGATGCAATGCTTCCCAACATGAGAATTTCCAATGTCACTTCCATTATCAACACATTTCTTACATTTTTGAATATTGAACCATCTTCAAGCTTGTCGTATTTTACCACCATTTTTATGGAGTCTAAAGTCGTACTCATAGTTTTAGCATCCCAGAACGCCTTTGTGTTTTTTCGTTGATATTTTGGCATCTGAAAACTAATGGCTTTTATAAATAAAACATGTCAGATGAACGTTTAGACTAATTTTGTTGCAGAATGTTAATAAGGATCGCTTGATTGAAAAATGTGTATTAAATTTCATTGACAACATTTGTGGCAGTCACAAAACGTAACAAAATGCCTTTAAATACCTTGTCGGCTAATGGTGCACAATGCCCAACATTAGACGACATTCCACTTCACTACATAACACAAAATTTGATAAAAACAACAAAGAATCGGGCAAAACTTATACCAGTGTCTAAGATGGTAAATAAATTACGTATTTATGTACTTTTTAAAGTATATATCTATTCTTATCAAGAGAAAAACTTACCGCTTATTTCCTCACACACAAACTATAACATAACACCCGAAAATATGTAACCGATAACTGCCAGCTGACCCGACGTTCGTTTTTATGGGGATAAATCTGGCAGTTGCTAATAGATGGCGCGACAATATATTATTTTATTAAATAGAAGATTAGAAACATTGATGCGCACACTTACCCGATGCGTACCATTAGCCGACTCTCCCCTAATCTTTGGATGAAAATAAGAAATTACAATTTATGGAGCACATAATAAATTTGTACAATTGGTAAGAAGATTAATAGTAAAATTATTACATTTGTTAATGTTATTCACAATATTTGGATGAATGCTTCTCCTCATTCCTTGTTACTGTGTAAAATATTTTTCTATAGAGTACAGATTCTTGGTCAATCGATTTTTTTCCATTTTCCTCCCACTGGGAGGGGGGCTTTAGGGGAAAGCTCGGGGGTAAAAGTGGTAAATTTCTTTACATCTTTTTAGACGTCCTAAAATTGACATTTTCAGCCAAATTAAGCTTGTCCGTAAATTTAATTTGAATCGATAAATCGTTTGAAAATATCTAAATTAAACATTTTTGTACGAATATGAAATTATTTTACGTAATTTCACTTTTTTTATTGCCTTACGTAATTTTTTTAGACTTTAAATTGAATTTTTCGTTTATTAGGTTAATAAAATTTTCCATGTTTTTAATGTAAAAAAAATGTTTTTCAATGCTCCTCGTTTCAGCGTATTCTTCCCATATCATACTTAATAAGATAAAGCATTTACTGTCAAAAGTGCTTATGCGTACGAAATTTACGACCTTGTTTTGAGCGGAAACTCTTTTTCAATGCTACATTTTCATGGCTCCCTGAAAAGACGCATCTTGTTTTACTTGAAATCGTGGAAAATGAAACAGTAATTTTAGAAATAGCACATGTGCAAGTAACAAGAAAGGAAGGCGATAAATACCAGCTGAATTTCATCCTTGAAAGCGTTCTGTGAACTCCCAAGTGCATAATTTAGATGTACCGATTAGAGGTGTAGGTCTGGCAACTGGTGTTTTGAAACGGTGATTTTCTTGATTGCTAGATAAATATACTCTTTAGAAGCTGGTCGCTGTTGTTGTTTTTTGCAACTTTTACTTACTTTATAATAATCATAATTTGTTTCTCCACTCTTATGTTTTTTGTTACTCGGATTTTGAAAATCTGATCATGTGTTCTCTTATGAAGCTCATGATTTTTATTATTACGGTTTTACCAACTTTCAAGCATTCAGCTCGTAGATGGTTAGTTTCTTAAGTTGTCGTGACTTTCCCCAGTTGCTGATTTGTATCAAAGAGATTAAACTTATCGAAAGTCTAGCAATTCAGTCAGAAATGTTCTGTATCGGAAGACAATTTTTTTATAGAAATTTTGAATTTATATGAACAGGCAGTTCAAAATCCACTCTGAAAACTACAAGACTTACAACAATCAACCCAGAAGCAGAAGATGGAAAATGCAATATTGGCCTGATGATGCCCGTTTAGGGGAAAATGCAAAGTAATCTTCTTTTTGAGAGCATGTTTCTTTTGTTTCCGTTACTGATCATACATTATTGAGATAATCTTCCGGTTATCCGAATTCCATTGATGATTCATATAAAGGTTTTTTCATAATGGCACAGGTAAGCTTCTCTTAGACAGAAGTAGTTTAAAGTGTTTTTCTTCTTTATTTATGATTTGAATTTTGAGTTTAGGAGAAAAATAAATTTGTTAATTTCATCCGAGGTCTTACTGTCACTTATAGAAAATGTATGGTCACTTAGGGCAAAGTGGAGAGAGGAGACTGACACCTGTATTGCCCTAATCCCCGGAGTTGAGCAGTCCTTAGCTTCCACTAGTCGTATTTACCCTACAAAGTTAGAGACCATTTTTAAGCATAAAGGGGACAATGACAAGGACTCACGGCTCTCAGAGGGGACTTTTACTTTATCACCGTTTTATTGCGGATAGTTAATACATTCTTCTTCTTGTAGTTCCTTCTCCTATCGGAGGCTGACTATCATCACAGTTGTCCGTATCTTTTGGTGGCTGCTCTGAAAAGATCTACTGAGCTACAACTATACCACTCTCTTAGGTTTATTCTTCTTACGGTGCCTTATCCTTAAGGACGTTGGCCATTACATTTGCCCATTTAATCTTATTTGTAGCAGCCCTGAATAGTTCTATGGAGGTCATGTTCGTCCATTGCCGTAGGTTTTTAAGCCAAGAGTTGCGTCTTCTTCCTGGTCCTCTTTTGCTATTGACTTTGCCTTCGATTATAAGTTGGAGCAGTTCATACTTTTGATTTCTTATGATGTGACCAAAATAATGTGTTGTCCTTTAGGTTTCTTAGCCAGCAATCCTTAGCCAGATCTTTTGCCCTTGATTTTACCTTGCATTATGAGCCTTAGTATCTTATATTTCGCACCTTTGGTAATGTGGCCTAAATATTCCAGCTTTCTTGTTTTGATGCGCTTTATGACCTCGCAATCCTTTTATAGCCTTCTTAATACTTCTACGTTTGTAACTCTTTGGGTCCATGGTATTTTCAAAATTCTTCTATAGCACCACATCTCAAATGATTCCAACTTCTTTATATTATCCACTTTTAGTGTCCAGCTTTCCATTTCATACAACAAAGTCGAGAACACGTAGCATTTAAGACTCTTATCCTCAACTTCAGAAGAAGGTCTCGATTAACAAACATTGTTTTCATTTTTATAAATGTTTGCCTTGCATTTTCAATGCACGTCTTTATTTCTTTACCTTGGTCATTGTTTACCCAGGATCCCAGAGATTTGTAGTTATTCACTCTTTCTATTTTTTTCCCTCGATATCTAGCTTTCCTACTGTATGTTGCTTAGAAATAATCCATATTTTACACTGACTTGATGTAATCTATTTACTAAGCAGTCTGCAAAAACAGCGGTGTCGTCTGCGAATCTTATATTGTTCAAGATTTTTCCGTTTATTGATATACTTTGTTGTTCCTCTGATATTGCTTCCTTAAAAATATCTTCGCTGTACAAATTAAATAACAATGGGGAGAGCACGCAACTCTGTCTAACACCTCTTTTGATTTCTATAGTTTCTGTATTTACATTTTCAATTCTAACCTTTTCTTTTTGATTCTAGTAGAGATTGACAATATATCTCGATAACGACCCGTATATCTCTACTGTCCACATTCTTTTCTTTTAACAATTTTACGAGTTTCTGATGTACTCTATCAAAACCCTTTTGATAATCTATAAAGCAGACATAGACAAGTTCTACGTAATAAGGAGACGAACAGAAATTTCAAAAGGCTATAAAAATCGCTCTAGCACAGACAGAAGACTATAACAACATAGACTCAGCTTGGAAAAATATCAAAGTAGCTCTGACAAGCGTATCAGATGAAATACTAGGACACAAAAAGAAAACAACAAAAAAATGGTTCGATGATGATTGCCTGAACTCCATATTAGCAAGAAATATGGCTAGAAGGAACATGCTACAAAACCCCTCGCACAACAACACTGAAATGTATAGACAAAGAAGAACAGAGACAAGAAAACTAATGAAAAGGAAGAAGAGAGAGTATCAGGAACAAATAATCAGAGATATAGAAGAAAAAAGAAAGAACAAACAAGCGAGGCAGTTCTTTAAAGGAGTTTCAGATATCAAGACCGGGTACCAAGCAAGAACAGGAAACTTTCTTCAAAACGACAGTGGACAGCTTATCACTGATGACAAGGAAATCTTAAAAACCTGGAAGGAATACTTCTATCAAGTATTGAATGACCAATCTAGCAGAAGTACATCAAACATAGAGGTACATACAGCTGAAATAGAAGACCAATACCCGACATACGAAGAAGTAATACAGGCAATTAAAAAACTCAAAAATAATAAGACACCAGGTAGCGATGGTGTACCCGCAGAGTGCTTAAAACATGGAGGAGAAGCGTTGTACAGTTCGATATACAAGCTAATTCAAGACATTTTGCAAGAAGAAACAATGTCAGATGAATGGAAAGAAGGGGTTATTGTACCAATACACAAAAAAGGAAACAAAAAGCAATGTATTAACTACAGGGGAATAACACTCCTAAACACCACCTACAAAATCCTTGCAAACATCCTGCTAGAAAGAACCAAAACATACACAGAAGAAATCGTTGGAGATTATCAATGCGGATTTAGACCGGGCCGCTCTACAATTGACCAGATATTCACAATAAAACAGATAATGGAAAAATGCTGGGAGTTTGATCGTGAGCTTCATCAGATGTTCATAGATTTTAAACAAGCATTTCATAGAGTATGTAGGGACAGACTGTGGACAGCGATGCAGGAACTTGGCTTTCCAAAAAAACTAGTCCGGTTGATACGGATGTGTATGGAACGGTTACGATGTAAGGTGAGAGTTGGACAACAATACTCGGAGACATTTGAAATAAACAATGGACTAAAACAGGGAGATGTACTTTCACCACAACTCTTCAACTTAGCTCTGGAGCACATAATCAGAAGTGCAAGAATCGAAAAACCGAATACAGTATTTCATCGAGAAGGACCAAACTTACTACTGGCATTTGCAGACGATATAGATCTAGTAGGAAACACGCGATTAAGGATGAAGGAGACTTTCGTAAGGTTTGAGAAGGAAGCAGAGAAGATGGGGCTCCAAATCAACGAAAACAAGACGAAATATATGTATATGAGCCGCAATAACCAAAGTAGAGACAGAATCGGTCAGAACATTACCATCGATGACTTTAACTTTGAGCGCGTTAGAGAATTCAAGTATCTTGGAACAACAATAACTGAAGACAGTAACGGATCACAAGAAATAAACAACAGGATTGAGGCCGGCAACAGATGTATTTTTGCCCTCCAAAACCTTATATAATCAAAACAACTAACACGACGTACGA